CAGAAGCGGCTTTAGATTCTCAGTGCTGTGCTGTAACCGCTGCGCCACCAGGGAGGGCCCTGATTTGTTCTTTTTAATGGATTAATTATAGGCCCATCAGAGACATATTTTTTTGTCTCAATGTCCTTTTTTTAAATTTAAGTAATAACATGTAACATTGTAAGGGGTGAAGTACTTGAAGTACTGTCCAACTTCACCAGGAGTAAACGGATTAAGGGCGTCACCGCTTTGACTAGTGACCACATAAGTGCAGATAGTCAGTTACATTACGGGCCAGAGTCAGGTTTGCTTTGGCTGATCTGCTAATGTAAAGGGCCTGAATGCAATTTACTGTAACTCATAGCGTTGGTGTTATTAACAATAAACACCTAAAGGAATGATGGCATGAAATGTGGGCGCAGTGGGGCGTCGTTGTGGGCAGGAACTCATCTTTTTGTCGCCTGTTGTGCTTGGTGGCCCTCAAGTTGGACACAGTGACCTGACAGTCCCTGGGTGGCCGGGGGCGAGAGCCTCTCTGTGTTAGGGGCTCAGAGACCAGTGTGAGTAAAGATCTTAGGAGAATTTCAGGATTTTACTCAGGGTACTTAGTGTGTCATTAAAAGAACCCCGCAAAGGAAGACGTCAACTTAGTCCACTGTGAATTGACCTGAAGCCTGAGAAGATCGGGTACTTAATGAACGATCTTTTGATGTGAATGTAATTCTCTTAGTGAATTAATGACTGCATCCGTGTACCATGTCAGAATGAGTGAGAAAGGAGGCACACTACGGTGGTGTGGTGGGTGCTGCCCACTGGTGGCTTCAGGCAGGCACGAGGGTGTGGCCACCTGGGCCCACATGCGGACTCCGGCTGTCACCACTCTGGCAGACCCTGTCGTCCGGGTCAGGAATATGCGAGGACTGTTTTGAGCTTTATGGTCAAATATACTAATAATTTAGTGTTTATAGGGAAATACTACTACTACTACTACTACTACTACTAACTTCCCATTGTTAGTATTAATTCAACGAACAATAAACATAAATAGATAAAGCTGGGAGTGAAAAAGGATTGTCCAGTTAGAAAGACGTGTGGTTAGGCAAATACTGTTCCCATGGACTGAAATCAAATCCTTATTAGGAAATACGTGTACGTGGCGTTTCCTTTGACAAAGATGTGTAGTTACCGGTAAGTCAGTCGAGATTTATCTTGTCAACGACAAATGTGTTCTTTTGCTGCCGAGAAGGGGAAGTGTGCAGGACCCCGCGTCACTCCCAGCGAAATGACTGGCTGTGTGAACTGTGGTAGTAGAGGACGCACGTGACGCCGCCTCTGTCCCGTCTCCTGTCTCGTGTTCCACGCCTGGGCACGTGGCAATGCTGTGGCCTCCTCCGTGTCCGTGGGCCCTGAGTTTGCATCGATGCTTGGAGTGTGGACAACAGTGTGGGTGGTGGGCCAAGCTCTCTCTTGGCTTTGTAGCTTCTAAAAGTGATGCGTCTCTGTGTCATTCCTGGGTGGTGCGGCCCAGGACCACCACTCGCCGCTTCAAAGCTCTGTGGTGTCGCCCCAACAGTGTGTGAATCTTCCCGGGAACATGTGTGGTTATCGGGGAGAGAGACACGCTGTGAGCAGGAATGCGCTGCCACATATACGCCAGGATAGTTTTAGTTTGGGGTAAGAGTGACATCTGCAGCTAGAGCTGTTATTGATGGGGTTAAACGCCTGCTTTGCTGCGGAAAAAGGGCTGAATACCACCATCCTTGAGTCCACGGTGGGTGTGGAGGCCGCTTCGGAGGGGCGGAGCCCTCGTGTCTCACCTGTCTTTTCTCTTCTCTTCCCCACAGGGTCTAGGGCCGACTGTCGTGCCGGCCATGGTACAGCAGAGCCCGGGTCTCTGTGTGGTGCTCGCCAGGGTGAGTGGCCGTCAGCCTTGTCGTCCTGAGTGGAATCATTTGTCTGAGGGTATTTATGATATTATTAAAAAAGGATGAAATTAATCAAGAAGTTTACTATGACCCATGAATATCATATGAAACACTGTTGATTAACCAGTAATGTACAGGACTGAAGTCCATTAATAGAAGTGACGAGTGATTCTGTAAAAGGAAAAAAAAAATAGAAACAATCAAGATTCTTGTTCTGAGTTTCTATACAAGCCTTATATTGTTTTTATCACCAGTGAATAAATGAACGGGGGCGGGTGTAGGTGGGGCAGGAGAGGCTTTCCGATGGCGGGCCAGCGAGGACGCGTGGCGGTTGAAGGCCCAGGCCATGAGATGAGTCTGAGCCTCTGAGTCCCGGGGAGCAGGCGCCCCCTCTGGAATAGGGGGGCAGCGTTTTCCAGTGGGGAGTGTGGAGGTGAAGCCAAGATGTGGTGAAATGGGACCGCCTCTGCCTGTCAGGAGTGGGGTCAGGGTCGCCCTGCGGCGAGGGTCATGTGGACGCTAGTAACGATGGCCAGCTCATTTTCTGGGTCAATCTCAAGACTGAGTTTCCCTCCTGCCAAAATAATAAGATACATATTAGGAAAATTTAATCAATGCTCAAATACTGAGTTCATGAAGTGAGCAACAGTGATCTGTGCTGATTAGTGTCACTGTTTGTCTCCAACTCTGCCCTGTACTCAGAATGGATGCAGGGAGCCGACCTCGCCCCCCTGCCCTGCCCTCCCATACACCCCAGCCCCAGTCTCGAGTGCTGTGTCTGCAGGATGAGTGATGTGAGTGATAGTCGAGTCGCTTTCTTGCCTTCCATGTTCTTTCCCTAGGGTTATTTGCCAAAAGGTGCAGAGTGAGTAAAGAATGCATGTGTATCTTGGTGGTAACTACGCGATGCACAGTGGCTTGTCACTCAGCTAGGTGATACACTGGGAACTGGGTCATGGAGCATCACAGGATGCAGTGACAGGGTCCCGGTGGTGTGCTGCTGGTCGAGACAGTCTCAGTAGACCTGTGCTCTAGTCAACTTTCCTTCAATAATGCGTGTATGAAAAAGAGGTAGTTAAGACAGACATATTGCGAGAGTAATTAACATATCAGTAGACAGTATTGTAAGCACAATTAACGAGACGCAATCCTGTGAGATTCAGCTTAGAAGAACTCTTCTTGGGTTTTTGTGAGTCATGTATGGCCTTTAAAATGTTCATTAGTGAAGTAACGATTTAATTAACCGATCAACAGAAATGAGGAATAGTTGCTCCATGGCGACGCCTGGTGGCGTATGAGTCACGTAGGATGACAGGTGTCTGGGACTCAGGCTCGCCTGAAGGGTGGCTAGCTCCTCACCTCTGTGTGCACTGCCATTTGACAGTCCTTACACAGCTATGAATGGAGAGTGTGCCCTCCGCAGAGCGGGGGGGACCCTGAGCGTCTTCCCCGTCTGGTCTGCTCTTTGCTTCTCGGAAAGGCATCATTCCACCTGGTTCAAGGACTGTTCCATGGTCATGACCTTCACCACTGCGCTGGGGGCACGAGGCCAGTGTGTTCTTGTTCTTGTCTGAGTTTGAGAAAGCCTGTTGTGCTGATTCTTAATAGCAGAAGGAGATGAAGCATCGCATGGAATTCAGTTGATGAATGGGATTTGTTCGTTTTGTGAATACTATTGGTGGATATTAGCGATATTGAAGTATCTCATCATTTGTGCTTCACAGGTATTTCTTCACTAATGAACTGATAAACAGATTTGTGTAGAACAATGGTCAGTTATGAACAATGATGATGTCTGCTGGTGGTGAGCATGGATGAAATTTGAAGGGCTACTACAGACAAAGCGTCTTTTCCATGACCTTCAATTCATGACTTTTTTTTTTAAAGATTTTTTAATTTATTCATACAGAACCGGGGTACAGGCCAGAGATGCGGAGGGTGAGAGGATTCACCAGAGACAGAGCGGGGAGCAGAACAGGCAGATCAACGAAGTACACTGCTGAGGGGAGCAGCGGGCTGGTCAGGAGAGGGCCATGGGGATCTCCTCCCAGGCAGGCGGGGATCGAACTCCTGTGGAAGTGGCTTAAGCTTCTTTGTGCTGTGCTTCAACCCGCTGTGACACCAGGGAGGGCCCGATTCAAGACTTTAAAAAATATTTTTGTGAGAGAATCAATGCAGGATAAATTAGCAAATATATATATGAATAAAGATGAAGAAGGGGAAACATTGTTCATTACTAAACAGTTTACCCAGGAAAAACGCCCTCAGTCCAGTTAGATGAGTAACAGATGGACCAAGTATATCCTGTCTCTGAGGATGATGTGGGCATTGCCAAGCAGCCACCACGAGGTCAGTGGTCAGTTCGGTAGTTCCTCCCCAAGGTTTGCAAGTGATGATCGGAGGGAGGAGTAAGCCCACCAGCAGCGGCGCCGTGTGCCTGCACGCGAGGGAGGGCGTGAGTCGCAGGGGGAGCGCCAGGCGTTGGTCGCCATCATTTCCCAGCTTGGACGTAGGCTGCCCGCACCGAGCCGCGTTCAGCTTCTGCTGTGATCAAGACGGTTGCCTCGGTGTCGGGACGAAGACCAAGATGTGTCTTGGGAGCGCTTACTTTGACTTCAGTTCTCCATCAGAGTGGGCGGGCGTTGCTGCAAGTCTAAATTCTGCTGACTGGTGGTGAAGGCGGGCACCGTGAGGAAGAGGTCAGGCGTGTTTGGGTACTCAGGGTTCCGGTCTTGTGTCTGCTTGAGTACTTCTTTTAAATGTAACTGAAATTAGTGAATTAGTGAGTTACGCAACACAAATGGGAAACAAAGAAAGAAAATGTGTCTCTCACATCACCAGAGGCCTTGGCTGGTGCCCGGATGATGCCTGGATGACTGACGACAGCTGTGTGGGGCTCTGAGGACCAACGACAACCTGTGCGGTGCCCCTGTGTGCGTGCGTCTGCGTGCAGTGCCCCTGCGTGCGTGCGTCTGCGTGCAGTGACCCTGCGTGCGTGCGTCTGCGTGCAGTGCCCCTGCGTGCGTGCGTCTGCGTGCGTGCCCCTGCGTGCGTGCGTCTGCGTGCGTGCCCCTGCGTGTGTGCCCCTGCTTGCGTGCGTCTGCGTGCAGTGACCCTGCGTATGTGACCCTGCGTATGTGCCCCTGCGTGCGTGCCCCTGCGTACATGACCCTGCTTGCGTGCGTCTGCGTGCGGTGACCCTGTGTACGTGCCCCTGCGTGCGTGCCC